ACTGTATCCAATATAAATGTTAACTGGTTTAACTGGTGTCTGAATATTCTGGGGATTAATCAGTGGAAGTGGCACTGATTATAAGTTCCAGAATACTGAAGGGGGGAAAGAATGAGCGCTCAGAATCAAGGGAGCTTTGGCCAGGAGAATGAGCACATCAATTGAGTGACTGATCATTATTTGTCATGATCTGTAAGTGACATCATAATTGTGTACTAGTTGATCAATGTACTAGTTGCTCTTGATGTGTACTTAACAGATCCTCTAATAATGTAGTCATAATTGTGATCTGTGCATGTATTGAATGTATTAATTCTATTGACACTTAATACTTACTATTTAATACATGTACATATTTATTTGTAATAATATTTGACCGTGAAAATACTGTAGCAGAGGGATAACTTGTGGTACAGGTATTTCACGGACAAGGGAGTGAAAGGTAAGTGATAATTACTTATGTAGAACACAGGTATGTATTTAAATAGATAAGTAATTAACAGATAAGATAAATGTAAGATAAATAAGATAAGATAAGTTAATGATAATAATAAGATAACAAGAGGTAAAGGTAATCAACATTATGGATAAGTACTTATGTACATAAGTACAGGTGTTGCAGTTACTTGGTACATGAAAGGTACTGTGACATGTACTCTGTGGCTGACAACACCTAAGATAAGTGAAGCCATCACGCAATTACAAAATGCTAAATATATTACTTGCATGGATGTACTTAAAGGATTTCATCAAAATGTTATTCATGAAGATAGTAGACATTTAATGAGAATTATTCTACATATGGGTATTTATGAATATCTAAGAATGCCCTTTGGAATTAAAAATGCACCCTCTCATTTCCAAAGAATGATGGATACTGAATTTCACAAAGAATTACGTGAAGGATGGCTAATAATTTATATTGATGACATTATTATTTTTAGCACTGAATGTAATGACCACCTTGAAAAATTGAAAGTTGTTCTAGAAAGAGTTATCAAAATGAATATGAAGATCTCTATGAACAAGTGCCAATTTGGTTTTCAAGAACTCAAAGCATTAGGACATATTGTTTCAGGATTAAGTATAGCTATTGATAAAAATAAAGTAGCAGCAGTAATGATGAAACCTATGCCCACTAATGTTAAAGAAATACAGTCATTCCTTGGTTTTGCTAGTTATTACAGACAACATATAAAAGATTTTGCCAAAGTAACTGGTTGTCTATATAAATTAAGTAGCCCAAACACCTCTTTTGAGATGACAGTAGACAGAGTAGCTGCATTCAATAAATTACGTGAACTACTTACTTCTGCTCCCATATTATTTATGCCTAATCCTAATAAGCCTTATAAATTATATGTAGATGCTAGTATGGAAGGATTAGGAGCTGCCTTACACCAAATTCAAGATCAAGAAATACCAAAAGAAGGAGTCATTTGTTATATTTCTAGAACTTTGAAAGACAGTGAGAAAAAATACGGTGCCAGCCAACTTGAATGCTTATGTTTAGTCTGGGCCCTAGATAAATTATATTATTACCTTGATGGATGTGAATTTGAAGTCATTACTGATTGTACAGCCCTCAAAAGTTTATTAAGTATGAAAACTCCAAATAGACACATGCTCAGATGGCAAATAGCTATTCAAGAATGGAGAGGAAGTATGACTATTAAACATAGAGAAGGTAATATACATAAAAATGCGGATGGAATTAGTAGATGGTCCTTAGAAAATATACCAGATAACCCAGCCTGGGACGGAGAAATTGCTGCAAAAATTATGTGTTTATTTCCAGAGGAAAATAATGAGAATAATCCTGCCTTTGATGATAACACTGATGATATTAATATTTGTGGGTTACACGTAACTGAAATGCAAGAGGAATTTTGGGATGAAATTAGAATTAGTTATGACCAAAATAAAAATTGCTCCACAATTAAAATTATCTTACAAAGTAATTTCAAAAATAATGATCTGATAAATTCATTGGAAGGGGGAGTGATAACCACACTCCACCCCCCTTTGCACACACACTCCCACACTCCCTTTCTGAAGGGAGTGTGGGACCACACTCCAATTGAAATTGGAGTGCGGACCCACACACCAGCCCCCTGCACGGGCATTCCCCCAGCAGGTTGGCGTGCAGGTCCGCACACCAATTTTGATTGGCATGCGAGGCTGCATGCCAACCTTAAGCGGGGCATGCTCGCTTACCTGCATGCACGCCAACCGTGCCATATCCCATAGGACCCAGACATGGGTCCTATGGGACGGCGGCAGAGAATCCAGCAAGCCCGAAGACTGCTCATAGCAGCTCATTGGGAGGGCCCCCCCATGCCCACCGTATCCACTTCTGAGATCATGACCGAAGCCTCCCGCGGGGATGACGGGTACAGAGCAATAAAGTTTCGATCTCGGAGAGACGGCCTGAC